GGGGGGCCCCCCCGCGGCGGGGCCAGGCTGGGGACACCCCGGGGATGGAAAGGTTGGGGACACCTTAGGGGACAGACAGGCCGGGGACACATGGCATGGCCAGGTTGGGGACGTAAGGGTACGGCTCAAGGGATGGACAAGTTGGGGACATGGTGGGACCACCCCAGGGATGGACAGGTTGGGGACATGAGGGGGATGCCTGAAGGGATGGCCATGTTGGGGACACGGTGGGACACGATGAGGATGGCTGTGTTGAGGACACGAGGAGACACCCTAGGGAATGGTCACAGTGGGGACGCCCCAGGGCCTGGCAAGGTTGGGGACATGAGGAGTCACCCTAGGGCCTGACAAGGTTGGGGGCATGGAGGGGACACCCCAAGGGATGGCCAGGCTGGGGATGCGGTGGTGACACCGGAGTGGTTGGCCAGGCTGGGGACATAAGGAGACACCCCAAGGCATGGGCAGGTTGTGGACACAAGGGGACACGCAGGGGATGGACAGGTTGGGAACGTGAGGGGACGCCCTGAGGGATGGCCATGCTGGGGACACAAGGGGACACCCAGGCCCTGGCAAGGCTGGGGACATGGGGGGACAACCCATGGGATGGCTGTGTTTGGGGTCTTGCCGCCCCAGCCCCTGCTGAAACCCCCTCAGTGTGGGGCTCTCCCCCGGGCTAGTGGGTGCTGTGTCCCCGGCATTGTGCCCTTGGCATCATGTGTCCCCTGGTAGGGGGGACAGTGCTGGACTCTGGTGCCAGGAGGTTGCCCCTCGCACAGCCCCATCTTGCCCATGCCACCCCAGTGCCATGCGTGGTGACCATGCGCTGGTGTCACCAGTGGGGGCTGCCTGGCTGGAGGTGGGGATCTCAGCCGGGTGGGGGGTCTGGGTGGCACTGTCTCACCCCTCTGTGTGTCCTCCCCCAACCTCTGCAGGCCACGTGCTGTGCGTGGTGGTGCTGGTGCTGCCGGTGCGGTCCCTGGTGAAGCTCTACCTCCACCTTCTCACCGCGCTGCTGCTTGCCGCGGGGCACACGGCGGCCAGGTGAGCCCGGGGGGGTGACCGTGTCGGGGTTCTGGGGGGCGGTGAGGGGTACTGGGGGCTGCGCCTCTCTCCCTGCAGGGACTACGTCCG